CGCCGTGGGCCAACAGCAGCAGCGGCGTGGCGTCGATTGTGCGCGCCAGCGGGGCCGACGCGCGCGCGCGCGTGGGCGCGTGGATCACCAAGAAGTTCACGTGGACCGACGACGACGAGCTCTGGCTGCTGTGGACGCTCGACGTGGTGGGCGTCGACCACGTCGTGCTCCACCTGGCCACGCGCCAGCTGAGCCTCGAGTCCATGCGGCAGAGGCTGGCGCGGCACCCGGGCGTGCTGGAGCGGGTCACGCTGGTGGGGGTCGACGCGCCGGGCCGCGGCGATCGGGTGACGTACTGCTACCTGCAGGAGCTGCTCGTGTGGGATGGGTTCGTGCGGTGGCAGGCCGACTTCGACTTCGTGTTGCTGGTCGACACCGACGAGTTCGTGCAGCTGTTCGAGCGCGAGGCGCCGCACAGGCGGATCGACGCCAAGACCTTCATCGCGCGCCATCGCGAGCGGCTGCAGACCGGCGGCCACGCCTACATGAACCGGCTGCGGGTCGGTCGCACGCGCGAGAACAGCGCGGTCGAGGCCCAGCTGCCGGCGTTTCTTAACGGCATGGTCTCCCAGAACGGCGCGCAGATCCAGGAGCTGGCGGCTGCGGGCGGTGGCGGGCGGGAGGATCAGGGGAAGAGCCTGTTCTTCGCGAACGGGGCGGTGCAGCCTTACCTGCACTGGAGCGTGGGCTACCCGAAGGACAAGTGGGCAGTCGAAGAAGCGCACATCCTCCACGTGCGCAAGTTCCCCTACCGGATCCCCGGTACACTGACCTGGTGGCTGCCACACCTGGGGGGCAAGGAAAAATAAAGTTGGTTAAAAAAAACCCTAGAAATGTGCCATTACTGGAAAAAAATCAAAAAAAACCAACGGCCAATTCAAAATCTGCATCTCGAGCGATTGGAGTGAGTTGCTAGCATTCCAACAGAGCAGCCAAGATGGTGCGCCATGATCGCGCAAAGCGGGCGAAGAAGACGATGAAGTTCTTCAAAATGAACTACGGAGTGAAGCCGCCCTACTTCGTTCTGAGTACGTGCCCTCCCTCCGCACAACCTGGCCCCCGAAGAACAAATTGATTTATTTGTGGAATAATTGAGATTAAATGATTGATCGGCCATCGTCACTCCGTATGTGTGCAGTGGATCCGGAGTTCATCGCCACGTCGCTGGAGAAGAAGGTGTTCGTGAAGACGGCGGTGCCGGAGCTGTTGGCCGGCTCGGCGGTGCTAGTGGTGACCCGCTGCGTGACGGCCCACCTGCGCGCCGGCGGCGAAAAATACGCCGCGGCCGCCCTCATGGCCAAGCGCCTCCAGCACGAGGAGTGCTCCCACGAGCGGCCGCTCCACCCGCACAACTGCCTCTTCAGCCTCCTCAGTACCACCACCCACCACCCACCACTCACTGCTCTCTTCTTCGTCATCGTCTTCATGTCAGCAGCAGCTGATGCTGATGATGATGACGGCTTGCTGGCCTTCTTGATGGCATGTCAACAATGTTGCGGTTGTACAGAGCAGCAGGAGGAGCGCGAGAAGAAGCTGTGCCTGGCCTCCCAGAACCGCCGCTTCCAGACGCGCGTCCGTGAGCTCCCCGGTACCACCACCACCCCCATCGTCTGCCCATCGGCCGCCAGACTCGGTTGCTTGCTTGGCTGGTGCTGACGTGATGGTTGACGTGCGTGGTGCGTGGTGCGTGGTGCGTGGTGCGTGGTGCGGTAGGGATCCCCATGCTGCACATCTCCAACACGATGGTGCTCCTCGACCCGCCCACGCCGGCCTCGACTAAGCACGCCGACACCAAGGCCCGATCACACCGCGCCATCAAACCCGTCGAGCAGGAACTGGTCAAGGAGGCGATCCAGACGAAGAAGGAGGATGATGCGAGCAAGCCCGCCCCGAAAGCAATCGTACTCATCCCCCCATGCATGCCTGGTCGTTGTTGTCGTTGTTGTCGCTGCTGCTGCTGCTGCTGCTGTTGTTGTTGTTGTTGTTGTTGTTGTTGTTAGGGTATCCTGATGATGACGACGACGATGACGATGATGATGATGGTGGGGTGTTGCGTTGGATGGGTGGGCGGGGCTGCAGCCGCACCGGGTGATGGCGCAGAAGAAGCGTGCCAAGGGACCCAACCCGCTGTCGATGCGCAAGAAGGGCTCCAAGCCCCTCCTCCCCAAAGACAACAAGTCCGCCAAGCCCGCCGCTGCCGCCGCCACGACAACGACAACGACAACGACGGCCTCGAGCTCGAGCAGCAGCGGCGGCGGCGGCGGCGCGAGCGAGGAGGCCGAGCAGCGGAATGCGACACCAAAGGCGTCGACGTCGGAGGCGCAGGGCGAGGAGGCGGCACAGACGCCCGACAAGCGGAAGCGGAAGAGGAAGAGGAAGCACGCGGGCAGCAGCAAGAAGGCCAGCGAGGGAGGAGACGAGGCCTCCTCGTCCACGTCCTCATCGTCGCCCAACACCCCAGCCGAGGGCGCGCCCGCCAAGAAGCGACGCGTGGAGGAATGAGGAATGAACGGACAAAGCCGTCGTGTCTTCTTCTTCATCAGCGCCTTAGTTTTGGTGTTTTGCTGTTTTGGTTTGATGTTCAGACAAAGGCGGTGTCGTAGAGGCAGCGATAATAAATAATAGTTCTCTGGCCAAGGCGACCGGTCGCCTACTGCGGGGTGAGCTTGACGAGGAAGTAGGACTTCTTGCCAACGCGCAACACGCAGAGGGCGTCGCCGAGCACGTCGTCGGGTCCCACCTGGTAGTCGTCGTTCGGGACGCGCTTGCTGTTGACGTAGACCCCGCCGCCCTTGACCAGCCGCCTGGCCTCGCCCTTGGAGGCCGTCGCGCGGCACGCCACCATGAGACCCGACAGCGGCTGACCCACCACCGACGACCGCGGCAGCGTCACCGACGGCACGTCCTTCAGCACCGCCAACAGCTCTGCATAATTATGTGTGAACACGACGACGACGGCACACGCACCACGCACCACGCACCACGCACCACGCAAGATCAGCAGATCGCCAGAGAGAAAGGGTGCACGGGCAGGGGGACCTGATGGCGGGAGGCTGTCGACGGGCTCGTCGCCGAACATCACCCGCGTGGCCTTGAGGGCGGTGTGAAGGCCCTGCTCGCCACGCACCAGCCGCGTCACCTCCTCCGCCAGCACCTTCTGTCCGGCATGCTCCTCTGGACGCCTGTGTGTGTCGTGGCAAGTTTGGTGAGCCAGTGATGCGGTTGCACGTACAGCCACGTGGTGAGGGGAGTGCGTACAGGTCGTGCGCCTGGGCAATCTCTTCGATCCGGGGCAGGGGAAGCAGCGTGAACAGCTTCAGGAAGCGGCGGAGGTCGGCGTCCTGCATTATTATGATTATTATTATTATTATTATTAAAAGAGGGGCCGAGATGATGAGAACGGGGCAGGTAGCCCATGAGCGGCGCATATGCGCTCGAGCCCACCACCAGCGCATGGATGGGCCTTGGGGGGGGGGGTGAGGTGGGGGCTGTACGCGGGTGTTGCGGAAGTACTGGTAGAACTCGTAGTGGGAGGTGCGCGTGGGGCAGAGCCACACGGCGGCGTTGCCGGCACTCTTGCCCACCTCCTCGCCCGTCGACGTGGTGAGCAGCGGAATGGTCACCCCGTGCGCCTCCACTCCCTCCACCTGCACGACGTCGGTGCGTGAGTCGTGAGTCGTGTGTCGATTGATTTCGCCGCCGGGAGAGAGAAAGGTGGTGTGGGTTGGGGGGGAGGGGGTGAACACCGACCTTGCGGATCAGATCGCAGCCGGCGGTGATGTTGCCCCACTGATCGGACCCGCCCAGCTGCAGTCGGCATCCCTCTGTTCGGTACAGGTTCAGGAAGTCGTAGCCCTGCAGCACCTGGTCCCCGCCCATCCATCCATCCATCCATCGCGTTGTTCGCCGTTAGTTAGCCCCACCAACCACCAGCCACCGCCACGTTTGCGGGCGCCGTCCGACCTCGAGGGAGGAATCGGGAGCAGTGTGCGCACCTGGTAGCTGAACTCGGTGAAGCTCATGCCCTCGTTGTCGTCGCGGTCCATGCGAGACCGCACGCTCTCCTACGTATGTACGGAGGTGCACATACGCGACAACGGCGCACGGCGCTTTGTGTGTGAGAAGAGATGCGGGAGGTGTCGCGTGTGTCGCGTGTGTCGCGGGGAACAGGAGCGCACCTTGGCGAGCATGGTGCCGAGGCGGAAGTGCTTGCCCACGTCGCGGAGGAAGGAGAGCACGTTCATGCCGCGGTACCAGTCGAAGTTGTTCACGATCTCGAACGCCGGGCCGCCTTCGGTGTCGAGCTGCCGGAGGCACGACTCGATGCCCCGCACGTTGCGCTCCAGCGTGGCCTCGTCCAGCAGCGCACGCTCCGTGGCCCGCCCGCTCGGGTCCCCGATCCGACCCGTCGCTCCGCCCACCTACGCGCACCCATGAGCGGTCTGGCTTCCGTTGACCGCGTGGATTGATGATGGATGATAGGATGGATGAAGAGCTCGTACCAGGGCGATGGGGCGGTGGCCAGCTCGCTGAAAGTGGAGAAGAGCGAGTAGGCCGAGCAGATTGCCCACGTGCAGGCTCTCCGCGGTCGGATCAAATCCGACGTAGACGGACCCCTTCCCCTCCCCTGCGGCAGCGGAGGTGGGCGATGCCCCTGCAGGGGCGGCAGAGGAGAACGTGGTCTGGTAGATGAAGCCTCGCTCTTCGAGAGACTTCACCACATCGTGAAATTGGCGGCCACTACACGAAGATGAAGCAAGTGGCTGAACAGCCGACCCGACATTGCAAAGGGAAAACGGGTTGCTAGCATGTGAGCTCCTCCGCCACCGCAGTGCCCCGCTTCGGGCATGGCCACACAATCCAAGCCTCTTCATCTTGTTCGCCAGCGAGAAACAGCAAAAGAAAATGGGAATGAGAAAATCGATGAGAAATTGCACGTGCGCCCTGACCGCTCAAGAAACAAGGGACGCCGCAACCAAAGGTTGGCCAGTGCCCAACACTCAAGGGCCGCTCACAGCTCTATTCAACGGCGCAGAATACCTGCTTTCCACTTGTGAGCGCACAGTGGCGGCCCACTCCTTGGCTCCGTTTTCTCAGTGGCCCGAGTTGTTCTTGTGGGGCGACGCACAGCGCGAAACGATTGGGCGTGGGCTGTTGTCCCAATCCTAAAGTCCTGGTTGGCCGTAGCCCAACTATTTAAGACACATATCCTCTCTCGTCAGCGGACAGCCAGTCTCTCTCTCGTTTGCGGACGCGAAGAAGCCACACACAACAACAACACCACCAGCCCTCACCAACAAGCCTCGCAGCAGAGAAGGAACATGCAGACTGCCAAGGTCGAGCAGCTCAAGAAGGGTGAGACCACTCACTCGTGGAGCGAAGAGGTGCCCTTTTCCTTCTACCTCCCCATTTCTCTTGTTGATGACCGACTGACTGGATGAATGGTTTTGTTTTCAAAACAATGTAGGAGAAGGAGGCCTTCACCGATTACATCAACAACACCCTGAACAAGGACAGGGACATCGGCAGCCGCCTGCCCATCAACCCCAAGGACAACTCGCTCTTCTCCTCGGTGCACGATGGTCTCCTCATCTGCAAGCTCATCAACGACGCCATCCCCGAGACCATCGACGAGCGTGTGCTCAACAAGGGCACCAACCTCAACAACTTCAAGATCCACGAGAACCAGGCCGTCGCCATCAACTCGGCTAAGGCCATCGGCTGCAACATCATCAACATCGGCGCGCAGGATCTCATGGATGGCGCTGTACGTACACGCTCATCAGCTTTTTCTTTTTCGTTGCCACTCGCCACCGTTCATCATTCATTCTCTCTACGTTCTACGCGCTGATGGCTAATCACTTTTCCTCTCTGCGCTGTGAATCATACATAGCCCCACTTGGTGCTCGGTCTGATCTGGCAGATCATCAGGATCGGTCTGTTCTCGCGCATCAACCTGGTGAACCACCCCGAGCTGTACCGTCTGCTGGAGCCCGGAGAGACGATCGAGGACCTGCTCAAGCTGCCGATCGATCAGATCCTGCTGCGCTGGGTGAACTACCACCTGAAGAACGCGGGGTGGGACAAGCGCGTGAACAACTTCAGCGGCGACATCAAGGACGCGTCGGCCTACACCGTGCTGCTGGCGCAGATCGCCCCCAAGCACTGCAACCGGGACCCGCTCAAGGAGGGCGACCTGACCAGGCGCGCCGAGCTGATGCTTCAGAACGCCGAGAAGCTGGGCTGCCGCAAGTTCGTGTCGCCGCGCGACGTGGTGCGCGGGAACCAGAAGCTCAACCTGGCGTTCGTGGCCAACCTGTTCAACACGTGGCCGGCGCTGGAGCCGCTCGAGGAGGAGATCGTGATCATCGAGGAGACGCGCGAGGAGAAGCAGTTCCGTAACTGGATGAACTCGCTCGGCGTCGACCCGTTCGTGAACAACCTCTACTCGGACCTGAGCGACGGTCTCGTGCTGCTGCAGCTCTTCGACAAGGTCGAGCCGGGCATCGTCAACTGGAACCAGGTCAACAAGAACAAGCCCCTCACCACGTGGAAGGCCCTCGAGAACGACAACTACGCCGTCGCCCTCGGCAAGCAGCTCAAGTTCTCGCTCGTCGGCATCCAGGGCAAGGACATCATGGACGGCAACAAGACCCTCACCCTCTCCGTCGTCTGGCAGCTCATGCGCCACCACGTCATCTCCATCCTCCAGCGCCTCGGCGGCGGCAACAAGATCACCGACAACGAGATCGTCAACTGGGCCAACGACAAGGTCCGCTCCGCCGGCAAGTCCTCCTCCATGGCCTCCTTCAAGGACCCCTCGCTCAAGAACTCGGTCTTCCTCATCGACCTCATCGACGCCGTACGCCCCGGCGCCGCCGACTACGCCCTCGTCGCCCACGCCGACGACGAGGCCACGCTCCTCCTCAACGCCAAGTACGCCGTCTCGCTCGCCCGCAAGATCGGCGGCGCCGTCTTCGCCCTCCCCGAGGACATCGTCGAGGTCAAGAACAAGATGATCATGACCTTTGTCGCCACCATCATGGCCATCGACCTCGGCCACCACGGCCACTAGTGCACCCACCTCCCATCCGTGGGCACTTCTGTACACAAGAACACTTGCGCCAAATGAACAACAAACACGTTCTTTGCCTGTAGCATGAAGGAAGGCAGCTTCTCGGCCTGGTGCGACCTCGTAACTTGCCTCACGCTTCACTACGACTCTTTTTTGTTGTGTTGGTGGTGTGGTGGCCACCGCCGCCGCCGCGGGTTGGGGAAAAAGTGGCGGGTGGAGTTCATGAAAGGGAAGGGAAGAGGGTCATCTCATGCGATGGCCCGCATGAGGGAGTGGAGCAGGGTGGCCGCGAGGCCGGGCTCCTCGTCCAGGAGGCCTCCCGCGCCAACAACGTCCATTCCCTGAGGAGCAGCAGCAGCAGGCCTCTTCCTGAACTTGAAGGGCACGCAGTCCTCCGGCTGGATGGCTCTGCACAACGCATCGCATGCCAGACACAACAACGTCAGGTCCTCCCCCTCCACCCACGCGGGCAATGGCCCCCAAGCTGCTGCCCGTGAGCTTCGAACGGAAGAGGCGGTGTAATGCGAGTACCGCACAACTTGCCAGGACGGCAGCTTTCGTCGGTTGATGTGCCGCGGACCTCGGGGGACGCCGCTGACCTCGGGCAAGGAGGCCTCCTTGCGCGTCACCGTACTCGTGCTTGGCCACCTCCGCGCCCGCCCTGATCAGGCGAG